AGGAAGGGTAGACCCCAAAAGAAAATCACCAAGACATATCATAATCAAGCTCTCCAAAATCAAAGGTAAGGAGACACTCCTGAAAGCAGCTAGGGAAAACAGAAATGTTACATACAAAGGCAAGCAAGTCAGATTAAGCTCAGATATCTCAGTAGAAACCATTAAAGCAAGAAAGCAATGGGGAGACATATCTAAAACCCTGAAAGAAAAAAATTGCCAACCAAGAATCCTTTATCCAGCAAATCTGTCAGTCAAATATAACGGTGTAATCAAAACATTCCAGGATAAACAGAAGCTAAGGGATTTTGCCAAAGCCAATCTTGCACTTCAAAACATCCTAAAGGAATTTCTTTGGACTGAGAACCAACAAGAACAGACAACAACCAGAGATTGACATATGTGGCAGCACCTCCCAGAATTAAATCCACGAAAGGAAGAGTCGAGAAAAGAACAAAACTATGAGGACAAACTCAGAGGATCTGGGAGGTCAGTCTATGATCAAAACAATTACAATGTAAAAGAAGGTAAACACATAGATAGGAACAAACATCCAGATGGTAAGAAGGTCAGGTAGATTATAGGATAAAATAGACTGCACTAAATGGAGAGAACAGTTAATGGACCATAAGGTAACTTAAAGAAAATTAACACTTCACAAAATACCAAGAAAATGAAAATCCAAGAAGAATATCGAAACATTAAAACTATGAGGAAACTCACAAGAAAGAACACAAAAAGCATGCACCCAACAAAGGAAGATATACAGAACAAAGAAACCAGCAACACCACACACACAAAAAAGACCATAATGGCAGCAATTAATCAATACCTAAGGAGCTCTGGTAACGTAGTGGTTACGAATCGGGCTGCGAACCTTAAGGCCAGCAGTTCAAAACTACCAGGCGCTCCGCGGGAGAAAGATGAGGCGTTCTGCTCCTGTAAAGATTTACAGCCTTGGAAACCCTGTACAGGGTCGCTATGGGTCGGAACCAACTTGAAGGCACTTAATAACAACAACAACATTGATAATTACACTGAATGTAAACGGATTAAATGTACCTGTTAAGAGACAGAGAGTGGCAGAATGGATAAGAAAACAAGAGCCTTCAGTATGCTGTCTGCAAGACAAATATCTCAAACACAGAGACCAAAACAGATTAAAAGTCAAAGGTTGGGAAAAAATGTACCAAACTAATTGCAATAAAAAA